GAGCGAAATGATCACGCGCCACATCGCACACTTGTCAAACAACGTTTGCACATACACATGTACAAATACATCTGGCAAAGGCATATATGGTGTAAGGCACAATAAAAATATAAAACAATTTCAAATGCAAATATTTTTATTAAAACTATTAACGAAAAAACAACAGACGCCACCATCGTCATGCTGATCACGATCGCCAAAATAAACAATCGCTCACTCACTCACTCGGGCCGACGGTTAGCTAGTAGTGATCTGTCATAAAGGCACGTATCCACATATATGTATATATGTACCTAACTGCACGTATTTACACTTGAATTAGACACATGCTTATATGTATGTATGTATATAAGCATTGAGGCAGCCATCCGTCCATCTGTGCATTGATCTAATTTGCTTTCCAGCGCATCTCATCATGCGCCACACGCTGCCGCTGCTCCGGTGAAATATGATTCACACTTTCAATTAAGACAATCCGGGCAGCCGCGAGCAGCTCGAACAGCAAAACGGCAAAAAAAAGAAAAAAACAACAAGGAGTAAATTGCATGTAATTATTATGTGAGTAAGAATTTAATTGAAATGGCTAAAGCCATTTAAATGAACGCCTTTGTAGGAGTTTTATGTGTGTGTGAGTTGGCATTACGTTTTGACACCTCGATTGAATTGGGGTCGCCGACTGGCGCGCAAACGCAGCTGGGCGCATACCTATTCGTGCATTTACCGCAGCCACATAACTGTCATAACGCTAAGCTAACGCTTAGTTTGCTTTAGGTCATAATGACAATAAATAGTATGGATGGACAATGCCGCGAAATTAATAGCAAGCATGAACGCTGTTTTAATTATAGGTTTTGTTTCCGACAGTTTATCTTGTTATTATTATTACTATTTATCGAGAAAATCGTGCAAAGTTGTATATATCAACATTTATGACAAAAATGTATGTATATTTGCACTTCACACAATCAGAACGCATTAAATAATAGCGCTGGAAAACCAATCGTAGCTGTTTACAGTAATTATCAAACAATTTTCCATTAGTTTATATAATTTGAAAGAAACAATCGTAAGCTCTCAGCTCCAAATCAATAACCGAACTGTTGGAAGAAGAGTGCTAGAAACCCGGTTTTTTTGAAACGCCACCAAAGAAAGAAAATATTGGAAATTCTTCAGTCTGCTTACACAAGCGCTTCACCATATCCACATGATTTTCGCTTCGCTTTGCTCTCAGCTTCCTTACATCTAGAAGATCAGCTGCGTTTAGTGATTACCCGCATTTGACATTATTATTGTTTGTGCCTTTTACTTTGCCAATAACTTCTGTGCAGGTACAACTTGTATTGGTGTCACTGTGCTTCCCTAATCTTTCTGTCAACATACACCCACACATTTTATTTACCCTCCACCGTCCCCACTTCATCACATACGCACACAGATTTTTTTTTTAAATTTCTGTTTGTTTGTCTTTCGCCTTTCTTTGCTAACATAGTTTCCATTTTACTGCTGTTCTAGTTTAGTGCTGTTATTGTTTTTGTTGTTGTGTGCTTTATTGATGCAGTTTGTGTCGATCACTGAAATTTTGCTTTGAAACACACATTCATGTTCCTTTGTGTGTTGTTGTTTTCTTTTATTGTTATTGCTGTCGTTTGAGTGCATATCAAAGCGTGCACATTCTCAAAAATTTGCTTGGACCATAAAAGCGGCCAGCGATCTGTCGGAAGGTGTGTGCCACACGCCAAGCGAATTATTACATTCCTCGATGTTTAATGCACTCTGTGCTTTATTTGTTGAACGCGCGAAGCTGTGCGTTGCGGGGAAGTGGGTGCGGAAGAGCGAATTGAATATTGGAAGTGATACAACTTTAGGTGTGGGTTAAAGGAAATAGAAATTGATGGATCTTACTATTTTCTTATTATTTTCATTTGTAATATACACCACCACCTCTTTCCTTCTGCCGCTACGATGCCTAGGCCCACCGTGGCTTAGTAAATTTTAGTGCTTTTTGGTGTTGTCTCTTACATTCACTTGAACGCCAATGAGCACACCTTGCGATCTTTAGCTGTTTCCGCTTCAGCAACAACAAAAATTCTTGCTAGCTGACATTCTCTTATTCAGGCACATTCTCTCCTACTGCCTACTACCTTCTGTTGGTATTTAAATGAATAAAGTGCAGTACGTCTATTTACAAGTAAAATGCACCATTAACTATGGAGTCATCAAACGTGATAGATTTTGATTTGAGAATATTTTTAAGTGGTTTCACATTAACTTCAAACTCTGAAATTTCTTCATTAAAATTATTATACTCGTTGTATTAATTATATTATATTATTATTATTATTATTATTTTTTTTTTTTTATAAATATTTTTAATTTTGTAATTAAAACTGCTATAAAGTCAAGTCGGCTTAAGCAGCAAATTTTACTCTCAATTCTTCGATTGAGATTGAGTTAGGAATGGTAAGGTGGCATCCTTGGAGGCACAGTCTTCTAACGGACCAATATTTATAGTTCTTATTTTTTATACCCACAGAAGAAAATTTGTGTAAACTTTGAAATTCTCAATTTCACGACTTCCATGATTCTGTTATGTCCCACCTGCCGCCACATTCCATTTGATATGAGTAACTCAGCTGCTAATGAATATCAATCGAGAAATATTTCCCTTTTACGATCTGTTCCAACTCGTCACTCGTCGGGCGTTGGGGGACCGCCAGGAAATCAAGTCATTTACCTTTGCGAGCGCAACTGTTACACCGAGTGCGAAGAGTAAATATAAAAGTATATATGTAAAACGCAGACTGTGTATGTACATACATATATTGCAGTAGGGAAATTGCCGTGGCAACTGTCATGGGAATACCATAATGTTCTCCCACTGCTTTGACACCTTCAACTTTGCTCCCATTATTCATTAGCCGCAGTGTGCAACTACGAAAGAGGGGATCATGGAAATATTTAGAGGAGAAAACATGTGCGCGCTGACAAGTGCGTTCATCCCACTAAGAATTTCTCTTTGTTTTTGTGGTGTGTTTTTTATGCCAAATTGTGTTTATTTTATTTTTATTTATTTATTCTATATTTATTTTAATTTATATTTTTATATTTAAATAGAAAACGAAAATGTAAGCGTTGGCAGATTTTTCGCATGCGACTCTGTGCCTGAGCTTATATGTTTTTTTTATTGTTTTGCTTGTTTTTTCGTATTGCTTCCTGTTTATTCTACCTTTTTTAAGTTTCTCAAACAACAAACGCTCCATACATATTACCTATTTTATATACACTCCATACATGTACATATGTATGTGCGAATTTTTGTTTTTGGTTTTCCGCTTGAATGCCAATGATCGAGCATTCTGCTGTTAAATTGGTTGGCATTTTATTATACCTGACTTTCATTTTTACGCACGGCAAGCGATTTTTTATTGAACATTATTAATAGTATATGGTATATGGTGAATAATAAAAGTTCGTTAAATAATGAGCGTTCTTGTCTTGCATAGCAGCAGCGGACTGGCCAGCTTTCATTTGGTAAATATTTATTTGTTTCATAATTTTTTGCTGTTTGAAAGAATAAATTTACATTTTTGTTGACATCCGCCACATGATTCTATAATTTAGCCGCAATTTTCATTTGCTTCGCTTTTTATTGCTATAACTTTTCACTGCGGCGTGTGAAAGCCAGTTTTTTCTAGCTTTCAGCTGATTTTTTTTTTTCATTGGCTTTTTTACACATTTTTATGGAATTTTGTGCTTTTTTGTTGCCTTTGAATTTGTATTGTTATAAATGCATTCTTTCAGCTAATAAATCATTTAGTTTGCACTTGAGGCTATTATATTTAGCTCGGTATGATTTAGTGGTGTTTGTTCGAAATTTGCTAAATTTGACATAAAATGTCTATAACCCTGTCCAACTCTCTATTAGCATATAATATACATATATAAATATTTTTGAAAAAATTTTACCTAAAAATAACCAAAAAGTTAAACGAAAATTATATAAATTTTTTATTATACAATATATTAAACATTTTTTTTAACTAAATTTAAATCGAATTATTTTGAAAATGTTAACAAATCATCTAAAAATGAGTTTGTTTAGTTTATTATTAAAATGTCAATTTATTATTTTTTTCACATATTTTCTTATTATAAATTTTACACTTTTATAAGAATAAAATATTAAAGTCTATTAAATATAATCGTTTTTTAAGTGTTTGACTTTATTATTTTTTAATTTATTTACGTAACTTTTAAAACTCTTAGTTAAAAAAAAATGACTGTGCAAAGCGTTTTTGTTGTTTAAATTTTGCTCTCTTTGAAATATAAAATAAAAAACCAAAACAAAAAAATAAAAAATTATATTTTTATGCTGTTTTTAAAACAAACTCGCACGCTCACATTCAAACTAACCCGCTAACAAAATTCTGAAAATTCTTATCAGTCAGCTTATTCAGCTTCATTGCTCGGGGTGTTAAATTTTTTTTTGGTGATCTCATCACTTATTTGCTTCAGTACACGTGTAAATACTTTTATAGGTACAAATCAGATAAGGAAATGTAAGTCGATGGCTGCCCTGCCTGTAAATGCGTAGTTATTTACCTAAATTCCAAATGCGAATTTAATCGACAGCTTTGCTTCGGGGCGTTATCAGTTTTTGTCGAAAACATAGTTCAAAACTCAGGCGGAATAATTATTTCCGTAAAAAATATATTGGGCGGTGATGTTGAAAAACCCCAAAGCTAAATTAGCTCAACAGGGTGGGGGGAATGAGTACATAGTATTTATACGATGCTGATGTTTGTCGAAACCACGATTCTACTTGAACTAAAATTTTAAAAATCATAGTTTGAAAAGGTTGCAAAGATCTTGAGTAGCTATGTACATAGGTATGTATGTATGTGTGTATATTCAATACTTGTTAATATTTTTCCATCTTTAATGTCTTTAACTTTGCTGTAATGCATACTAAACGCACTCTCTTCCCCTTCTCATTACAGAGCTGCAAGATATGCCACAAAGCCTTCGCCAATGTGTATCGCCTACAGCGTCACATGATCAGCCATGATGAGTCCGCACTGCTGCGTAAATTCAAGTGCAATCAGTGCGATAAGGCCTTCAAATTCAAGCATCACCTAAAGGAGCATGTGCGCATCCATTCGGGTGAGAAGCCGTTCGGTTGCGACAATTGTGGCAAGAGATTCTCACATTCCGGTTCCTACTCCTCACACATGACCTCAAAGAAATGCATCAGTATGGGCATGAAATTGAACCCGAATCGCGCTATGTTAAAAGCGCTAGAAAAGAATACGCCAGGTCAAAACGCTAAGCGCTTCAATGCGAATAATGGCAGCGCTCTAAATACAAGTGGACCCACAGAGTCAACCTTAAATGTGGATGCAGCGTTGCCGACTGGTTTGCCAGCACATATGAACTACTATGCCATGGATGCAAGCGACGCGATCGTGAATGGCAGCACACCGCCATTATATCAGCATTTACTGCATAAATATGACGATTATAACATGAATGCTATGAATGCCGCGCTTTTAGCCACATTCCCGAACCCGTTTTACAGCTTGGGCCTTAATCCACGCTTATCCCCATACAACATACAACGTCTGCTGGAACTGACGGCAGTGGGACAGCAGCAGCAGCAGCAGCATGAGCAACAACAGCAAGAGATGCAACAACGCGAGGAAGAGAGTCTCAGTGAACGTGAAATACAGCAGCCTCAACTAGAAGAACACACAGCGCGCATTGATGAATCGATTGATGAGACAAACGATGAGGAGATACCGGATGAGCCCAAATTAGTGATGGATCTAGGCGAGAGCGATGCTAAAGAGGGAGAAGATGATAATGAAGAGGAAGTTGAGTCGGAAAAAGTCGCATCCGAGACGGCGGATCATTCCAATCTTGTTGATGAAGAGAAGATTGAAAATGGAGAAATTGAAGCGCGACATGATGAGACGAATGGATCGCCCTTTTTGGAGGGAAACCGCCAAAATACTCCCAGGTTAGAGAGTAATGAAGCTGCAGAAACCATCGAGAAAGACATAGTACCGCAAATCAAATTGGAGTCGAATCGTTTCGCCACACCAGTGGATGAGGATCGATCTGAACAAGTTGAGAGTGCGGAAAATATGCCTGTTATCAAACAGGAATTAAACAGCACGGCCGAAATGGAGGAATCTCGACCAATGGAAACCTCCACGCCCACCAGCAAAGTACCATATGAGCCACAAAATGACTCCAGTACATGCAATGCATCTGAGCTACGTTGTAGCCGTTGCGACACTCAATTCAATCACCAAACTGAACTGGTACAACACGAAAAGGTGCTCTGCGGTTACATCAAGCAGGAGCTGCAACATACCTTCCAAGAGCAACACACTCAGCAACAGCATCAAGAGCATGAAGAGGAACCGCAGCAAGAGCAATCTCTAGTGCGACCGCAACACAGTATGGATGACTCTGCCGAACAGTCTGGCATCTCAACGACTTCCCTATTGCATTCCAGCGATGTTGAAGACTACCAGGACGAGCGTGATTCCAACTCACGCAACGATTGCAACAGCGAAGGCAGCGAGCGCAAGGTACGCGTACGCACGGCCATTACCGAGGAACAACAACAACAGCTAAAACAGCACTACGCAATTAATGCGCGTCCCAGCCGCGAAGAATTCCGCATGATTGCCGCACGTTTGCAATTGGACGCACGCGTTGTGCAAGTATGGTTTCAAAACAATCGTTCGCGCGAACGTAAAATGCAAAACTATCAGCAAACGAATGGGAAACTACCTTTTGCTTTGCCCGTAGCCGAAGCAAGCGTCGCTTCTACCGCCGTGTTGGAGCGCACCGCATTGTCAGCGGGTTTACGCACGGGCGAAGAACAACCGTTGGATCTGTCGTTGAAGCGCGATTGGCCTATAACAGTGAAGCGCAATGGCATGCAACAACAACATTCGCCGTTATACGGTATTGCGCCAATGCAAAGCGTCGGCAGCAGTGATCTCACTGAAGCTATTAACTTGAGTCGTAAAATGTCTGCATCGATGTCACCGCCCTCATCGCTTTCGCCATCGTCCGCCGCATCCGTACCTCAGTCGCTCAAACAGCAGGCGGCTGTTTATTTCGGCGCACCATCTGGGAGTCATCATTTCCAACGACAGACGCCCTCTCCGAATGAAGCGCCACCGCTAACCCAACAGCAACCAATTGCACCGCGCAACGGTAGCAACAACAATAATAACAGTTTCTCAGCTTCACTGGCCGGCCACCTGCCACCATATATACTGCCCGCCGGTGCGCAGCGAAGTCTGATGCCGATGGACGCGATTTTCCGCATGACACCCGGCGACTATGCTTGCAATCCGCTGATCAACAGTATTAAATTCCCCGACTATCGTGGTACCAGCCTCAGCCCAGGCGGTTCAGAGAAGCGGTCTTGGCGCGATGATGACTCGCGTATCTCGCATGATGACGACTATATTGGTAATGGTTTACTGCCTAAACCGAAGCGTCCCAAAGCGGAAACACACGGGCATGCAGGTGATCCGGATTTGCCATTTGTGTGCGATCAATGCGACAAAGCGTTCGCAAAGCAGAGCTCGCTGGCGAGACACAAGTACGAGCATTCCGGTGAGCAAAAGCGTCATAAAGTGCGCCCCTTCTCTTTTGTACACAGTACGAAGTTTAGGCAATTTTACTGACCGCAACATTTTTTCATCTCTTCAACAGGTCAACGCCCCTACCAGTGTATAGACTGTCCGAAAGCCTTCAAGCATAAACATCATCTTACCGAACACAAACGGTTGCATAGTGGTGAAAAGCCATTCCAGTGCAGCAAGTGCTTCAAACGCTTCTCACATTCCGGATCCTATAGTCAGCACATGAATCACCGTTATTCGTACTGTAAACCATACAGGGAATAGGTAAACGACAACTCAGTGCAATCAACATCCGCCTCCACAAGATCGACAACAACAAGAACCACATCGAATAACAGTAAATCAGCGCATAGACGCAATTCAGCGGCCGCTTCACGCAATATGCTGAATATCGCAGAGTTTCGCAAAAAATTTGGCAATCATGCTAATGGCGCACTCTATCACCACCACTTACAACAACAACAAACGGCAGCGGCAATGGCGTCTGCGGCGTTTCAACAGCGCCAACAACAACAGCAGCACAATCAGCGCCAGCAGCAACATAATGAATTGCAACAACGTTTGCAAGCGCAACGTTTGCTACCACCGCCACCACCACCGCCGCCACATATGGTTTGGCCACCGTTGAACGGTGCTGGTATGGGTGGTATGCTGCCGCCGCCTGTTAATCAGCAGTTGCAGCAACAACAGCATCGTGCACAAGCTTCTCCTTTGCCGCCACCGCCTCTGTTGCACGGCACACACGATATGCCGCATCTTAGCGTGAGCGAGTCGCCACTATACCATCAACAGCCTAACCAAATTGTCGACCAAGCGCTGCTGACAACAACACGTTTCGCCGCAGCACCCATGCAAACGATGCCGCCCACAAATACACATCAGCAACGTCGGCAATACTTCGATTTCTTCAATAATAAAATGGGTTTGCTGAATTGATGGTCAATGTAGCTAAATAGATATGACAGTAAATTGTAAGCCAGTTGCCAAATCGTTGCAAATCGCCTATACTGTTAGTGCATGCTAATTTAATCAATTCACAGCTGAATAATACGTATACGTATTCAGCGCTCGATTTAAAAAGGCCAACAGCTGTAGCAAGTGAACTAATCAACCGCACATTTACAAAATGTGTACACCAGTCAAATTGAAATTTATAAGACGTAAATGGAATTCCGCACTTAAGCTCGTACTTAAGCTATAACTATATTAATATTCGTATTTAGCTGAATAAGCTCCAAAGCACATTCGAAAACCAAATGCTCATTACAATGTCGTTAGTGTAGTGGTGAAATCAGATATTAAGAAAAAAAGTTTTTTTTTTTAAATTCATTCTACGCTTTCAATTAAAAATTCAAAGTGGAAAAGTTATTTTGAATATTTAATTTATTTTTGTGCAGGCACAGAAGCGCATAACAAAAGTATAATGTTGATATGTAATTGAAAGCGTTTTTTGTATGTGCCACGACTTGTTAGTTTTAAAAATTATTTGTTTTTCAGAAAACAGCCGGTAATAATTTAGAATTTGTAAATTCTTACATTTAAACAAACTTGTTAAATCTCTTTTTGTTTTCATAAAATGAGTAACCTTTCGTTTTAACGAATTTATAATTATTACTTTTTCGTATACATAAGTTTGTAATTTTCGAATAATTTCTTACATTCACAAGCAATCGCTGGCCAGTACCAAGCAAATACTCTCTTGAAATTGATGTTTACTTTAGTTTTTAATTATGTTTATTTGTGAGTTTTTAAGTATAATTTAGTCGAAGGAAGCAAGTATTTCTTATTTTAGTATCGAATATTTTGATTTTTTTTTAATTTTTTATTTTTTTGTTTTTTTTTTTGTTTTTAAAAATATTTACACACAATTTTTAAGTTTTACGTTTAACGTTACTGCAATTTTTCTTTTTTTGTTTGTTTTAACTGTAAAGTGTCAGCTGGTGGGCTAGGCACTTAAATTTATATTATATTAAAATATATCTACTGAAAAATAATCATCACTTTATTTTTCGATTTCACAAACTTAAAAGAGAAATTCAAAAACATATTTTTAATTTTTTTTTTACTATATTTTAATTGTTTTTGTTTTTCATTATAGTATTTTAGAAGATTTTATTAACTAACGTAGAACTTAAACAATTTAACTGCGTAAAATATAAAAAAAAGATCCGTAATTTCACACCTTCTACTTGAGTATTTATCCAAACAATAGTTTTCGAAAGAATCTGTAAAGCAGCAAAATAGTATTCAAACACTGTATTTTTTAAAACCACACAAACTGTATTAGACCAATATGCAATAGTATATTTTAAAGCAATATAACAATATTTATGCACCACATACACACAAACATACCGTCTTCAAAATGACATGCCATTTACAGTTAAAATTCTGTTGTTCTTTTTAAGAAAAGAATACGCTTTACAGCTTAACATATTTGTTTTACTTAAACCTCAAGCCGCCTACTTTATAACCCTTCAATCTCGAGTCAATTGAGTTTGGAAGAATTCAAACGCAAGAAGAAAGTCACTACGACGAGCATTCCACAAGCGAATCTGGTGTATAAAGTGAAGGCCAGTCGTTATACACATGCCACGCCCATTAGGGAAATTTATTATGAAACGAGAATGCATGCGGCACTTGGTTAAGTGTAAATTTTGTCATAAGGACATGAAAACTTAGTATGCCAGCACTTAAAATAATAACAAAAAAGATTAAGAAAAATTAATTGAAAATTATGAAAAAATGTTAATGTTTAAGAAAAAAATTAATTTGGCCTTATTAACAAACTTATTTGGAACTTTAAATGTGCTAAAATTAGTAAATAATATTAAAATTAGTTTAAGCTTGTAAATTGCGGAATTGTGTTGTAGGCGCGTTTAAAGTAAATTTAAATAACTAACTTGAGGTAAAACGGCAAAAGGTAAAAACAAAACTGAATAGCTAAAAAAGCAAAATGTTTGTAAACTAACACAAAGCAAAAACAAAGCAAAATATTGTATTAATAGCATAGCAAAATTTTTTCACAAACTTTTAAGCTCAAGTTATTACACTAAAAGACTTTAAAATTTATTACATACAAATTAAACAAAAATAATGTTTGCAAAAAAAAATTAACTACTTAACCTACTTGTAAAAATTCATGGACAATAAGAAACTAACGGAAATTTAAATGTGTTTCGAAAGATAATAAATTTCCAAAGCTTCCTCGCTGCATAAATATTTTATCTGCATTTATTTTTGTAAATTTATGCACCAATTCGTGACACATTGCGTTTGCTAAGAATATAATTACCACATGCCCGATCGAAAAAAACTAATCCAAATACAGGAAATGCAATTACAACGAATCGCAATAGTTTAACAACACAGGCAACAAAAAACCCAAAAAACTAAAAATCAGCAATAAATTACAGTTGTAGTAAAAATAAACAGCAGGTTAAGAAAAAGAAATATAAAAATGCGCCAGCACCAAAAAGAAATGTACGCAAAATTGAAGAAACGCAAATTCATAAAGAAGGTTTCCTAAACAACGAACTCATTTCGTTTCTTCCTCAAGCACCCATGAGAACCAGAGATATAATGCAAAAATTTAAAGTAAAAACCAACAAAAAATAATATTAATTAAAGTTTAAAAATAATAATTTGTATGCCGCCAAAGTGATTTAACGCATCACTAAGTAATTATAAAATTAATTTAATAAAATTTTCGGCTTTAAGGTTTTGGCAATTTTTTCGCTATGAAATTATTCCTTGTATATCCTAACCGAGCAACCAAGCTAGAAATCCAAAGACATGTACTGTTAGCACAATAAGCGTGGCCGTGTCGCCGCCACAACCCTCACTAAGGTTGTAGTTGTGTATGTACACTTAAGTTAATATATGTTTTAAGGTTAGTTTTTATCAATCCCTCGTATTTCTTATTTGTAAGTCCTCGTCTTCATAATTGTCTGTATATAGATTTATGTTAATTATATTTGCGATTTTTTACCATTAACAGTGAATTCTTAGCGGCCATAAACTCCAAAATATTGAGTGAAATCAAGTTGAACGTAATTATTAGAGATTACATACATAATTACTTTAATTAATAATCTAGTACGTATAGAGCATATAAATAAACAAGTTTAATTACACAAAAGTTGAATGTTAAATTAAAAGTAAAGTTGAAATTAAAATGAAAAAACACCTAATTTTTAAGCACAAATTTTTCGGCAGCGTCTAAAGCGCCTGAAGAAATTTGTTTTAATGCCTTATAAATCGTTAGTTATAGCAACAAGTTATATTTAATTAAAATATAAATAAAAATACAAATAAAAACATTGTAAATCTCCAAATCAGCGCAAATTTATATTATTCTTGGAAGTTATATAAAAGCAACAGTGCCATAAAGTTAAAAAGAGTAAAAGCAGAGCCATAATTACTGCTTTAAGCCCACAATCTGTCTGTATGTATTTCTCTGTTTAATGTTATTTTTGAGTTGTTTTACTGAATATTTTTAAGTCATTTTTTTTTTAACATTTTTTTACTGCTTGTTTTAGCTGTATATTGTTTGTATGTATTATTAGTTTAAAATTAGTTGTATTATTACTTGTCCTAATTACTTATTCCTAAGTTATGAGTAACGGCTTTGATTACAAGATTTCTGCACACATACCATATGTACATGTAATTGTATATGGTAAGTGCAAAATAAACATTCAAGGCGAAGCGAAACTTAAGCTTGATTATAGCTATTTTATACTAAATACATTGAACATTAAGCGTTATATATACTTAAATAAATGACTAATTGAAAATATATGTAATTATGGAAGTGAAACAAGCAAATTAATAAATGACTATATATTATATACAATGCATTCTTGGCGTAAACGTATTTTAATCAAAATAGTTTAAAAAAGATAAAAATGAAGCCAATGCGTTAACGAACATTCATACATGCATACATAGGTATGCAGAGCAAAACAAAATACACATACACACAATTTTTGTCTTAATGAATTTACAAAACTATTATTATTATAACAATTATACAATTTACAACATTAAAAGAATACGAATGAATGAAAAAATATAAATAAAACATAAAATATATTGAAAATTAAATGAATGCATTTTATTTGTGAGCAGTGATTGAGATTATCAGGGGTGTTGTGAAATCCAAGACAGATTTGCGTAGTTGTCAGAATTGCAAACCAATTCTGATTTTGAATGGTGTCCCAGAATCTGATTGGAAAACCGATAAAATTGGTTTCCGTGACACCCAAAACCGATACAATTTTTGTTTCGAACGTCAAACCAATAATATCTGAATTCAATTCTGATTCCGACAACTATCAGATTATACAACACCCCTGTATGTAATATTTTCATATAACAAATGTGTATAATATACAGTTGTGTTCATGAAAATAATAATGCGAGAGCTTTTAAAGTTTACAGACATTTTCTCTAAGTCAATAAGCTTAATTATTTTGGTGGGACACTTCAAATTATAAAAACGAAAAATCAAGTTCCTTTTTTTTCTGATGAATGTTTTGTGAAATCATAGTGCTCTTTCCTTTTTGGTAGGTAGAAGAAGGCATTGAGAAGCGTGAATTGATAGTGATGCTAAGGAAACCAGACAGAACCTGCAGCTATCATTCCAGGTATACTATCGTATCATGGTGAGAGTCCCATACATTTGATCTATGGCATCATGGCACAACTATTTTCGTGAACAAACTAATTTTTAAGTTTTTTGTAATAAATTTTGTAAATAATATGTAGTACATATGTACATAATGAAAAAATAAAACTGCGTATCAACGTAAAAATAACTACAAATTTTTTTAAAATGTTATTAAATTTTTAGTTTGTATTTTTAACTTGATTTTTTTGTTTTATAGATAGAATCCACCAGCACTACACTATTTTCATCAACACAGTTGTACCATTCGGTTAATTTGATCTATTGTTTTATATCGGAAAACGTATACTCGTAGATGTCAACATTGACAGCTTCTTGAGTGCAGTGGCTTTCATCAATTTTTCGCAATATTTTGACTTATTGGCAGAAAACAAATTTCAAGTGTTTTATGCCTTAATATTGTAATTTAGAAGCTTCTCAGTTTCTTGCAGGCATTAATGCAGAGAAAACTTACAGCAATCAATAATTTTTTACAATAAATAAAGTACACTTTAACGTTGCAAGTTCTAACAACAATCAAAAACAGCCTATGATCACTAAAAAAAATTATTATTTGAAAAAATTTAAAAATGTTGTATCCTTTTCCGCGCAGTTCTTTGACAGACTGACAGAAATGCTGTTACGAAAACGAGACAGAACAAAATTTTTTACGAATTTGAAAGAATTTTGTTGAGTAATATTAAACAAATGTCTTATTTATAATATATAATATTTTAATAAATATGATTTACTTATTTAAATAATACATTAAAAAATTATTAATAATAATAAACTTAAGAAATAATTGCAAGTTACTTTGCAACACTGTGTTCTATTCCCGCTTCATAACACAAATTTTTGCAACACTGTAGAAATGTCAGTTGAAGTATATACATATTGGTTGTAAACAGCTGACAATTCATTTGTAAGGTTTTTTTTGTGGCGCATTTTGCTGAAAAGTATTAATATTCGTTTATAATATATATTAAAACAAACAGTATGTTGGGTATACAAAATTATGGCAGTTCGTCGGAAAGTGATTCTGAAGCTGATGAAGCCAACAACAAAGTGACATCTGAAGCAGGAAATACTGATGCTGTCGCACATTTGAAGCCTGTCGACCCAGCACTGTCGATTGCCAAATCGCTAGCCGTTTGCGCAGCTCCTGCAGTTGTGCCGATGAACGCCGTTGATGTATCGCGCACAATTGATCCTACTGTGAAAGAAGTGATATATAATCCGAAATTTGAGGAACTGTATGCACCTGTCAAAGGTCCGGAAAATCCAAACTTAACACAACAAATGCGAGCGCCGCGCAACACTCTTTCTGGGTATGTGGAAAAGGCGCATATTAATGCGTTTGAATTTGAAAATCAGCGACGCACATTCCACACTTATGGGTATGCATTGGATCCTTCCGTCGACGAAGTTGCAGACGGTCAAGCATTTGTTGGTGATTTACAAACTGCGTATGATGATGATGGAAAAACTGTGTTTGAATCACCGAAGCCGAAAAAGAAACGTAAACAAGATAAAAATGACAATCCAGAAGATATTGAAGGTTTCGTTGGTCCTTGGGGTAAATATCAAGATGAACAATCCGTAGCGCGTCCAAATGACCAAGAAAAGGCAGAACTGGAAGAGATTCTTGCTAAAAGGCATAGACGTAATCGCATTGTTGAAGATAAACCATTAGAGGAAAAATCTGTTCTTCATAGTAAGTATCTAAAATATCATATTTTAGTTTTTAAAGATTCAATATCTAAACGCTTTATTTACAGTCAAAGATGCCTACGATTATCAAGGACGTTCGTATCTACACGCACCACATGACTTGGGTATTAACTTGCGTTCAACGTCCGCACCTAACAAATGTTTCTTACCAAAATCACACATACACACTTGGACTGGCCATACAAAAGGTATTTCGTCAATCCGATGGTTCCCTCAAACCGCGCACTTACTGCTTTCGGGCTCAATGGATTGTCGCGTGAAGCTGTGGGAAGTGTTCGGCGAGCGACGCTGCATTCGTACATTCTCTGGCCATAGACAGGCGGTCAAGGACGTCGCGTGGA